ATACACCGTGTATGTGAGCTTTTGCATAATGTATGTAGGGAATTGTTGATGACGTTGACTGTGTTAGTGGGTAAATACAAGTTGTTTGATGCAGGAAAATAAGTGACTAGATAGGTTGGTAAGTGTAAGTGACTAGGCAGGTAAAGGTATGTAAGAAGGGAAGTAAAAGGTGGGTAGGATGTGATAGATTGGGCTTCTATGGGTTGGCATGTGACTAGGTGGCTGAATCCCCTTGGGTTAGTAAAGATATGTAATTCAGTGAGTAGAGGGTGATAAGGTGGGTTGCTATATGTGACGTATGGGCAGGCCCGGACTGGCCATCGGGCATACTGGACAAATGCACGGTGGGCCGCGATGGCCGTGGGGCCTAGGCCGGCAGGGGAGATCACAAAATCTCCCCTGCCAGCCCCTGCAGGGCCAGCGTTATCCGAGCACCAGCCCTGCTGTGTGCCTCCATGGGCCCAGAGGCAGTGTTACAGGCGGCCACAGGCTGGGGAGGGAGGGAGGTAGGGAGGGAGGGAGGAGAGGACTGGCAGAGCTCTAACCAGCAGCTCCGCCGGATCTTGTCGCGGGATTCTGAGCGTTGCCGCGGTTACCACGGCAACGCTCAGATCTCGCGAGAGTGAACTCTAGACTGCAGGCTAGAGTTCACACTCACCACTGGACCACCAGGGAGGATGGCAGCACGGCCCCCCTCATGGCACCCTAGGCAGAACGGCTCCCCCTCATTGCAGAATGGCTCCCCCTACAACATTTTAAAAATTAGTAATAAAAAAAAATATTTAAATAAATAAATTCACACTCACACACACAGCACCCCCAGACACACACAGCACCCTCAGACACACACAGCACCCAGACACACACAGCACCCTCAGACACACAGTGCACCCAGACACACACAGTGCACCCAGACACACACAGCACCCAGACACACACAGCACCCTCAGACACACACAGCACCCTCAGACACACACAGCACCAAGACACACACAGCACCCTCAGACACATAGTGCACCCAGACACACACAGCACCCAGACACACACAGCACCCTCAGACACACAGTGCACCCAGACATACACAACGCCCAGACACACACAGCACCCTCAGACACACAGTGCACCCAGACACACACAGTGCACCCAGACACACACAGCACTCAGACACACACGGCACCCAGATACACACAGTGCACCCAGACACACACACAGCACCCAGATACACACACAGTGCACCCAGATACACACAGTGCACCCAGTCACACACAGCACCCAGGCACACACAGTGCACCCAGACACACACAGCACCCAGACACACACACAGCACCCAGATACACACACAGCACCCCCAGATACACACAGACCCCAGACACACACACAGCAGCCAGACACTCACAGCACCCTCAGACACACACAGCACCCTCAGACACACAGTTCATCCAGCACCCAGACACACATCCCGCCCCAGACACACACAGCACCCGCACGCAGCACCCAGACACACACAGCACCCAGATACACACAGTGCACCCAGACACACACAGTGCACCCAGACACACACAGCACCCAGACACATACAGCACCCAGACACACACAGCACCCAGATACACACACAGTGCAACCAGACACACACAGTGCACCCAGACACACA